TCAAACATCCGGTTTCTATTCTGCACCGTTTATAGAAACAGCCAGACTCAGCCAGCGGAAGCCAACTCCATTCCCGGGCTCCGGCAGGATTTGTTTTCCATCTCGTCATTATTTTTACTATGTTCCCCCTAACAGTATTCCCTGGTGGACAATACCAGTTTCATTGAGAGCTCACGCGTGAGAGCTGAGGGGGGTGGGGGGCCCCTTCTTGCAGCCTGGCTGCCTTGGGAGCCCCCTGGCTGGGGGCCCGAAGCTTCCCCAGGAACTCTTGGGCACAAAGGGACACAGCCATGGCAACCTCACCCCCACCCTGCGCATCCTCCCCAGCCCCTCTGAAGGAGCACTAGGTACCTGGTCTCCTTCACAAAGGTGTCGCCCCCTAACTGTCACCAGGCACCCCTTTTGCTCTTTTATGAAGAGGGATTGCACCCAAAAGCAAGCTACTACTACCTTCTTCCATCTCAACCCTTTCCATTGAAATGTCACTGAGAGAAAGCCATGCTCCTCGCTAAAAATGCAGCCACCGACACACACGTGTCCCTCCATCCAAAAAACACACAACAGAGTCCCCCCTACACCAAAGAGAAAGAGGGAACTAGTTTGAAAATATGAAAGATTTGTTTATGCCAGCTATAAAAACATCCCTTTGCATCAAAATGAGTGTCCCTCTTTATTGCCCACTGATTGTTTTCTATAGAATTTAAATTGTACATGAAATTATAATCGGGCCTTGTTTAATGTAAATTGATTGTCTCAATTATTAGGAAATGGATTTGAATTTTAATGGACTATTTTGCTGGAGATGCGCCAAGCAAACCAGCAGAAACTCGAGTCGCACTAACTGTTAGAGGTGCACAGCCAAACACTTTTGTGAAGCGGGGGGGTGGGGACTGTGTCTCTCGGGGCTGACCCTAATGTGGCCCAGAGCCGTTAGCAAGCTTTTCTTTGTGAACAAGAAATCAGCTGCTAACTTTCCATGTTGGAAGATTCTGTGACAGTGACGCTGTAATTTAGCTTTTCTCTCTAAAAAAAAAAAAGGTAAGATCCACATACTAGCAGAAAGGACTTTGTGGCTTTTTTAAAAAAAAAAGTTCTTTCTACAGATGAGGTTCTCTGTGAAAATCAGGGCTTTACTTGGAAGGTAGAAAGGGCGTAAAACCCGGCAGCAGTGTGTCACGGGCACAAGGACACACTTGAGTGTGACATTTGAAAGTCTGAGGGGGGGCTGCGGACACACCCCAGCGGCCTGCCCCGTCTTCACTGCCTGACATGCCTCCTTTATATAAACCCAGGGCCTGTGAAGTCGCGCGGGTCTCCTCCGAACTTCCCATCAGGGCCCACCAGGCCTCAGCCACTTTCCTCTCCAGATGGTTGCAACGTTTTTATAGTTAAATTACATCCAGTGTCGCCGGAGGTAGAGACACACATCTGCCCGACACTGCCAGCCTTCTAGCATCTTTTTCTCAAACCCTCCGTCTCAGGAAGAACAGTGGATGCAGATGCAAAATAACCTCTGGGTATAACATGATAAACTATTTACTATACAGCCAAATTTATGCGTCAGCCAAACACTGTCATAAGTTTACTGTAACAGCTCTCTACTTGAGATATTTTAGGAATTGAAAATACAAGGTTTTATTCATTTCTATCTTGAAAGAGCCTCTTTATCTAGAAGTATTATCTAGAAGTATTATCTAGACATAGACATACAGATGTTATATACAGAGTATAAATTAAGATGTGGGGCCATGAATAAAAATTTCTTCTATTCATCCAACTTTTCTGAATGAATTTCTATGACGCGAAGGAATCAAGCTGATTAGATGGCATTTATTTTTATAACCAAGTTCAGAAAGGACAAGAAATTATGACCAACTACAGTTTGGATTGATTTCTTCCTAAGGGCTGATCTGAGTTGTGTAAAACTATCTCAACGTTAAGATAGTTCAATTCAGCAGCTTCGTGTCGTCAGTCAATGGCTTTTATGTATATAATTTAGATAATAAATTAATACAAGAAAGAAAAAAGCTATGGGAAACTGTATAACTGTATAACCTGCTTATTTAATGGATGCATCTGAACATGGCCAACACTCAGCACTCGGGCTCATCCCAAACCCAGACCATCTCAACCACAAACCTGCTGCTTTTGAGTTCTCAGTAAGTGGCACCACTATGCATCCATTGCTCATGTCAGAAATGCAGGCGTTGTCCTTGATATGTCTCCATTCTCCACCCAACACAGGCAATCAGTTATTAAGTCCTGTTGATCACACTTCCGAAATAGTTCTCCCATCTGTTTACTTGCTCGAAGCAGCACCACTGGGAAGAACCAGAGGGTTTGGAGCCCAATCCTGACTCTAGCAATATTGTCAGTACAACCTCTGATTAGATATTTGACCTTCTTAGGTCTACTACCTGTTTTATCTTACAAAAAACACATAGAACCTAATTTCTAGAGGAGAAGTTTTGAAATTCCTCCATATTACATTACCAGCATACACCTTCAAGGTGGGTGGTTTTCCTAGAGTTCTATAAGAAATCTAATTCTACGTATTTAGAGACTAGTAAAGGGGGGTGTGCTCTCCTCTCTGTATTATAAGAACAGCCTAAGTGGAGAAAGCCTAAATACATACAAGTATTAGAGTCTGAGCATGTCCCTTAGGGAGTGTAGTGACCATGAATTCTATTTACTGCATAGCAATTCCCATTCTGTTTATGAACCAAACACATTCAATATATATAATCAGGTGATTATTAAAGCTTTATTACCTTTGCTTCATAATCTCATGGAGTCTCCCATGTTGGACGCACTGTTCCTCCAATTCATCATTTCTTTTCTGTAACTTTTTCAGTTTTTCGTATGTATACCTTTTTTCTTGACCTAGCTGAGCTATTTCGGATCTGGAGAAGTGAAAACAGAAATCATAGACGTTAAAGGTTCTTACTAGAGCGTGTTTTAACTGTATAATCTTAACATTGTCTGAAACTCCATGTTTAAACATAACAGTATAAATAAAAATGTTATGTAAAATAAAATATTTCCGAAATTGCAAAATATCTAGTAGAGGGATGTATATTGTAGGGACTCAAGTGGACCCTACAAGTGGTTAATTTATTTCTATAACACAGAGCAGTTTCTTTTAATTGCCATAGCTAGTTTAATGGCACATGATCAAAATCATATAGTTCTAAAAGGCATAATAATAAAAAGTGGCAGTCCTCTGCCCCTTGACTTCCCATCCAGCTGAGCAGTGACAAATACTTTTAATTTTCAAAAGCTATTTCTTCTGGTATTTATCTCTGTATTTCTTAATTTGCTTATATCAATACCTCATATTCCATCAATGAAAAAATTTCTACTGATTCATTATGGTAAATGAAGATTAAACTCTTTTATATGCCCTCTTCTCCCGTCTCCACCTTGTTGATGTAATTATTAGCATTTCAGCTTGTAGTTAAATCATTATTAGTATTTATGTTACAGTGACTACCTAAGTATTGGTCCTTGCTAAGTGGTATACTATGATTACATTTGCATTTGTGTATACATTTGCTAAGTGGTATACTATGATTACATTTATTTTCCCCAAAGGAGTGGGCTTTAGTGAAAGAATGATTGAGCAGCAAGTCATCTTTTCCTGTGGGAGATTCCCGATATAAGTATCTGTAATTCTTTCCACTGTGGCCATTCTGTTTCTCAAGAGAAGGCACCTCCAGTTTCCTTCTTAATGTGTACACCCCGACCGTCCATGGCCCAGGAGGGCTAGGGATCTCACCTTTCAGAATGCAGACTTTCTAAAAATCCTCTATTCTAACTTCATTGTCCCTATTTTAACCAGAGCCTGCTGGTTGAATCTCTTCAGAGAGGAAGCTCCTAGTTTTCTGGGTAGAAGAGTGACAGTCACCTGGCTGCATGGGGTGGGGGTGAAACTGTCAATTTTGGTTTCAGTCCTATGTACCATTCCTGCCTTCCAAGGTTTTCTGGAATCCTGAGAGCAGATCGTCTTGCTTCAGTAGACACTTAAGATCACCTTCCTCTAATTTGCTATGTCAGGTACCATTCCCCCAACCTTCTTTCTGTCTCCACATACTTCATCTGGGATTGTAGATTTCTACTCTGGTGATAGCTTGTGTCCCCCGGGAAGTTTGTTACCCTTTCAGTGTCTTGGATGACTCTTAAAATTGGAAGATCAGAAATTTGAAGAAAAAAATTCCGTAAGCCAAGTTAGGAAAAAATGCAGAAGAATAATGATCTGTTCTTAGGTACTTTCCCAGAATAAAAGTCACTTTTAAAAAAGAAAAATCACAAGGGAAACATGTTTTATAATATAAAAATTTTTCACAAAAAATTCATAATGTTCCTTGTAGCACTGTTTCCTGAAGCAACCTTGCTCTGCAACGCAATGTCTGGAAACTTAATCTGGAAATTTGTCAGTAGAAGACTGGTATCCTTGGCCTTCTTTTAATTAAACATTGCACACACTGCCACCATATCTTCATGATCTACTGCCTCACAGGTTAGAAATGAGAGTTTAAAACCCTTGCATATTAAAATATGAGTAGTTAATAATTGGCTTGTTTCTTGAAGTTTAAGTAAGACTTGCTGTAAAATCATTTCTGTCCAAAAAAAGGATTCCTCCATTAAGCCCTGAGAGAGCTTGTTCTTCCTGGTCAAGAAAAGCTTTAAATTTGCTAAGGGAATTCATCCCAAAGACCAAGCTGCTTCACATGGATGAAGTGATCTCCCACTTCACCTCAGTTCTCATTTTGTTTTCACCTTGGTTCAAGGGTCACATCAAAGGAAGCTTGCCCTGATTAATACCTGGCAGTTCTCAATAAGTCAGCACATTTTCTGAAACTACCTCTAGCTTTTATGCATGCATTAGCCTATAATTTATTCCTTGGGGCTGTGCTCTGTGCCTCAGCTTTCTTACTAGATTGTACATGAGGGCATGGATTATCTCATTTTCAAGCTCAGATCAAACACTCAATCTACATTTGCTTCTCCTAATAAGAATTTACCTAAATCAGTTAATAATGACTTATGTTTCTCCTTTCAAAATCACACACAGTATAAAAGAATTTAGGGGCAGCTCTCTAAGAAATTGTTAATTTAGTATTCTTCCAAGATTAGTATCTCCTATCACAATATGCACTGTGCACTAAAATAAAATTCTGAAAGGACAAAAAAATTTCTTAAGCCAAATTAGGAAAAAAATGCAGAAGAATAATTATCTGTTCTTAGGTACTTTCCCAGAATAAAAGTCACTTTTAAAAAAGAAAAATCACAAGGGAGACATGTTTTATANATCTGTTCTTAGGTACTTTCCCAGAATAAAAGTCACTTTTAAAAAAGAAAAATCACAAGGGAAACATGTTTTATAATATAAAAATTTTTCACAAAAAATTCATAATGTTCCTTGTAGCACTGTTTCCTGAAGCAACCTTGCTCTGCAACGCAATGTCTGGAAACTTAATCTGGAAATTTGTCAGTAGAAGACTGGTATCCTTGGCCTTCTTTTAATTAAACATTGCACACACTGCCACCATATCTTCATGATCTACTGCCTCACAGGTTAGAAATGAGAGTTTAAAACCCTTGCATATTAAAATATGAGTAGTTAATAATTGGCTTGTTTCTTGAAGTTTAAGTAAGACTTGCTGTAAAATCATTTCTGTCCAAAAAAAGGATTCCTCCATTAAGCCCTGAGAGAGCTTGTTCTTCCTGGTCAAGAAAAGCTTTAAATTTGCTAAGGGAATTCATCCCAAAGACCAAGCTGCTTCACATGGATGAAGTGATCTCCCACTTCACCTCAGTTCTCATTTTGTTTTCACCTTGGTTCAAGGGTCACATCAAAGGAAGCTTGCCCTGATTAATACCTGGCAGTTCTCAATAAGTCAGCACATTTTCTGAAACTACCTCTAGCTTTTATGCATGCATTAGCCTATAATTTATTCCTTGGGGCTGTGCTCTGTGCCTCAGCTTTCTTACTAGATTGTACATGAGGGCATGGATTATCTCATTTTCAAGCTCAGATCAAACACTCAATCTACATTTGCTTCTCCTAATAAGAATTTACCTAAATCAGTTAATAATGACTTATGTTTCTCCTTTCAAAATCACACACAGTATAAAAGAATTTAGGGGCAGCTCTCTAAGAAATTGTTAATTTAGTATTCTTCCAAGATTAGTATCTCCTATCACAATATGCACTGTGCACTAAAATAAAATTCTGAAAGGACAAAAAAATTTCTTAAGCCAAATTAGGAAAAAAATGCAGAAGAATAATTATCTGTTCTTAGGTACTTTCCCAGAATAAAAGTCACTTTTAAAAAAGAAAAATCACAAGGGAGACATGTTTTATAATATAAAAATTTTTCACAAAAAATTCATAATGTTCCTTGTAGCACAGTTTCCTGAAGCAACCTTGCTCTGCAACGCAATGTCTGGAAACTTAACCTGGAAATTTGTCAGTAGAAGACTGGTTACATTACTTACACATAGGAATATCAGGATGCTATTCTGATAATGTGGCTATCTGTTGGTGTTATTTATTGACCTAAAAATAGGATGCTGAGCCCTGGCCGGTGTGGCTCAGTTGGTTGAGCATTGTCCCATGTACCAAGAGGTCACTGGTTCGATTCCTGGTCAGGGCACCTGCCCGGGTTTCAGGGTTGATCCCCAATCAGGGGCATGCAGGAGGCAGCTGATCAATGTTCTGCTCTCACATCAATGTTTCTCTCTCTCTCTCACTCTTATCTCTCTCTAAAGTCAATAAAAACATTAAAAAAATATGTTAAGACAGGAATTTCGCTTTATAATTTTAAAAAATTTTGACACGTATACCACATTAATATGGTTTATCTCTTAAGTGTCAGGATTAGGAATTAAATTTGTTTTTCTTTTTCCATATTTTTTGAATTTTAAAAAATTTTTACACGTATACCACATTAATAGGGTTTATCTCTTAAGTGTCAGGATTAGGAATTAAATTTGTTTTTCTTTTTCCATATTTTTTGAATTTTTACAATGGACCTGTATTTAAAACAAAAAATAAAGTCACTGATTTTTAAAATTCATAAAAGCAAAAAGAATTGAGAGCAAATTTTTGCAAATTAACGAAAACTGGAAAAAAATGAAACAAATGAAGATCAGGGGTGTTATTTAATAAAGCGCCATCCGCACTCTCCATGATATTCCAATTTTAAAAAATACAAGGGATATGAAAAATATTCAGAGGAAGAAACAAATGGCCAATAAACATTTATAAAGTATTCAATTTTGCTATTATTCAGAGAAGTTCATAATAAAACCAGATTACAGCCAAACAATTACTGCATGCCTACTCCATGCCAGATATCCTTCACATTAATGATCTCAAGGAATCCTACAGTGTAACTGTTGATTTCCTTTTCTCTGTGAGGTAAACATTAGGTGTAATGATTCGCCCAAAGTCCCCCAAATGGTCATTAGCCAAGTCCAGGCACCAACTCGGGCCTGTCCAACCCCACAGGGGCTGTTCTGCCCACTGTGCAACGTTGCCTCGCACTTTTTTATTTAATCTCCCACTTCTATTCGTCATATACTGATATGTGTACATATAAACCATGAGCAGAATTTAGCTTAGTACTCAAACAAAGTAATTTGA